TGAACCACATGTGATTTCTATGGATTTAGTAATCCTCAGTGGATTTCTTTTCCATGGATTTGGCTGGGCTCCCCTAGAACCCATGAAAACATTTAGAATCCACAACTTCCTGTGGCAAAGAGTTCCCCCAGTCTACTATTTATTGCATACAGAACCACATCCTTTTGTTTATTTTCAATATGGCTCCCACTAGCTTCATTTGATGCCCCTATTTCTTGTATTGGAAGAGATAGTGAACAGTCAGACCTTATCTACAAGCCACTCAAGATTTTATAGACCTTTGTCATATCTACCTTCCATTGTCTTTTTTTCCAGGCTTTCCCTGCTTACTCAGTTATTCCTATACAGAAGCAGTTCCAGATATTTGTTCATCCTTGCTGAGCTCTGAACCTTTTCCAGTTCTACTATATGCGTTCTGAGAGGAGAGGACCAGAACTACTCACAGTATATAAGAACTGCATAAACCACAGATTTATTCAGTGGCATGATGATGTTCTCTGGTTTGTCTCTGTTCTTTCCTAAAAATTCCTAACATTTGATTTGCATTTTTTGGACTCCTACTTAGCACTGGGATGATATTTTCATAGACCTCTTTCATGGACCTCTTACAGCCCCAACACCTCACTGCTGAGCAGTAATGCTCAGTGCAAAGTTGATCATCCTAATTTAAGCAATTAGAAATGTCTAGGAACAAGAGTCAGAGACCTCCATTACGGCAAGTTAGAAAACTCAGGGAAGAGTGGCACACAACGAAGGTAACCTTCAGAACAAATTTGGAGCTAAACTAAGCAAGGCCTTTACAATAGCATTTGGAGCCAGAAATGTGATGGCTAGGGTCTGACGCAGTCTGCTGGGCAGTTGGGCCAGTACAACACAGGAGCAATTTATTCCAGCACCTCTTTTACTGAAAATTAATAACAAAACCTTACATAAATCAACAATTACTCATTTATCTGTATTTGGGATAATAAATTCTTTAGTTTATCAGTAGCTTCTGGCTTCCATGGTGTTTTATTTGAACAGTTTTCCTTATGGACGCATTCTCTCTCTCCTGAACAATAAATTAGTGGGTTTTTTTTTAAAGGAAAAAAGGGAAAAATGAGGATACATTACAATGTTTTAAAGCAAAATAAAAAAAGCACAAATATTTTAACATATATCTTAAAATAATACAAGGACAACTCTGTGTGTTAGATGCCTACAAATAAATAAATAAATAGAGGACATTATATTATTTACAGTGTTGCACAATAAACTGAGACGCTCATTTGACACATAACTCATAAAGACAGCGAATGATGCAGAAAACATCCAAGTATGTATAACATGCATTTACAATAGAATAGAGAATTTTAAATGATGATGTGTGGCCATTTTATTTGGCTGCCTTTCCCTGCAGCATTTCATAGGTGCTTTTTCTTTCTTACTGGAAGTAAGTCCCAGCTGATGCAATGTAGCCACACTGCAGGTCCAAGAAGAGGCTTATGTTCACCAGGTTGAGATGTGTTCATTGAGGACGCACAAGTTTGTTATCTTGGATGTACGAGTAACTGCTTGTAAAGCGTGTGAAGCTACAGTAACTGGAGAGAAGCAGAGATTCACTTTTGTTGTTTTGAAGGACTGGAAAGAGAAAGAGCTTTCCTGTTTCCCTGGTAATGTCAGTGATTATTCTCTCAAACCTAGGAGTGTTAAGGTGGCTCAAATGGGGAGTGGAATAACTGGATGAAGAGAAGTGACAAGGTTTTTGTTTGGTGTAAATGGGCTTCTGCAGAGCTGTGCTGATTTGCAGCAGCTGAATAGGCAGGCTGTACCAGGTTATGCACATCATCTTTCAACTGTATGTCCCTGAAGGGAGCCTTTTATTATGGAGAATGGCCACATATATATGCACACACACATGCATGTACAAACACAAAACCCACAGCCTAAGTTAAATAACATGGAAACTATGAGAATCGGAACTACTTCACAGCCATTGCAGGACTTTACGCCTCTTCAAAGCATGTGTCTTCTTGCCAGGCTTCAGCCAAAAGTTAGCAAGGATTACACAGTTGTGATCCAAGGGTAATGGAACTGCCTAGATCAGTGGTCTGGGTAATGGAGCAAACAGCCCCAAGAGAGGAGTTGGCCTTTTCCTCATGCATTTGCTGACTCTGCTGCATACTACTGCAGGATCTAGCATCTAGCTAAGTAAGGACTGGCTACAACCTGGCAGCAGAAACTGGGTCCAAGTAAAGTTGCTAACTTTGGAGTGTGGACTTGACTGAAACAGAAGCCTATCATTCTCACAATGTGCTAAAAATAAGTCCAGAGGTGAGGGGATCAAGTTCTGTGAGTAACAAGCAAGGGTAACGCCCATAACTGATTGTTGCTTGATCTTGTGCTGTAAGTTTGGGATTCCCCTGAAGACCTAAGGGCTCAGGCAGCCAAATCTTCAATTGACTTTCCTTAGTCTTAGGTCCCTTTGAAGACTCCAGCCTTGTATTACCCAATGTGTATTGGGGGGTGGTGGTGAGTTGAGAGCCTAGTAGTGCAACAAAAGTTTTGTGACATTTTTTCACCAGATCCACATTAAATGCATCTCACGTACAGCTCATAGACAGAGAGTTACTCCTCCCTTCTGCATTGGTCCTTTGTAATCTTTAATAACACTTTAGATAGCCAAATAATTTATTCCACTTCAATGCAAGTTCCCCTTCCCCTCTGATTAATCTGTCATAGGCCATTGTCTCCTCAGTATCTCAATGTGAGCTGGCCCAGGGAGTAATCTATACTAGAGGACATTCCAGAGGCCCTGGGTTATATTGCCTGTTCTGCCACTAAGATGGGTGATCATGTGCAATTTTTTCTTCCACTGCCATCCTTTTTTTGTCTTGTCTCTTCTATAAGCAATTTGGGACACCAAAAACCTTACTGAAGGGATGGATTTTCAAGTGCCTCTGGTAACTCGGCCACACGAGTCCACTGGAATCTTGTGGTCTGCAATTTGTTAGGCATCAGAAAAGCCCACCTGTCCTTCTTTACTATGGGCTTGCAGAGTTTCTCAGGGGTTAGCTGTACTACTGTATAGGATTGCATATAAATAGACCTGACTAAAGGAAGGAAATTGAGCACATGATATCTAGAATTTTTACATAGCTTCTGTTTTCTGTAGAGGGAATGCAAAGACATGGTTTGTTCAAGTACATGTCAACTAAGGGAAAAACAGCAAGGAGGGCTTGAGTCCTGACAATTCATGTATGACAAAGTCCATAGTCTCCGATGGGCTTTTCAAATACACAAATCAGTATGCAAAACCCTTAAGCATAGGCTTAACTTTACACATACCCTGGATGTGTCAGTGGGAGTCTAGCATATGCTAAAATTAATATTTGCTGGGATGAACATAAGCATATACTTTACTGAGTTGAGACCTTAGTTCCCCTGGTTTATGTATGTCTGACATAACTTCCTTTGACTTATTTCTCTCCATCTAACTGGGACCAGAATGTGGCACAAAGGGCGAGTGGCATTTGGCTGAAATGTTCATTCTCTTGACATGGCTCTTATTTAGAGTCCAGTAATACCTATAGAACATATTTTCTCATTTTCACACTCTCAGAATCCAGATGAAACTTTTGTTTTTCACAGTCCTGAGTCTGTGTTTTGCCAACTGAACATACAACAAAATCAAAAGAAGAGAAGAGGCAGAGTGACCATGACGAAACTGATTGGAATTCAGTGCAAAAGAGACAATTTACTTCTGTCTGAAATGATGCAACAGTTCTAGCATTGACAGCACACTTGTCCATTGCCAGTCAAAGGCTCTAAGACCATCATTGGTCACATGAATGTTCATAGCAAATACACAGTACAATGGTAATCCACACAGTGTGCTTGCCTATAGAAATGGTCTTTCCATGGGCCTTACCTCCCCCACCCCAAATAGTTACATCAAAACAGGCCTCTAAATATGAACTTCAGACTTCCTCCTCTATGTTCTTCCTACTGTCTCTATACCTTTTAACCATTCAGCAAATCAGTTCTGCCCTGTAAGTCAAGGTCAAAACTGATTGCATTTTTATTAGTGATATTTGTTTTCCAGCTAGTTCTCTTCCTTGTTTGGTTACAGATATCTGCTATAATATTTTCCCAATTAACTTAAACTAATAGAAATCTTGTTTCTTTGTAGAGTACTGGGTTCAAAGACTCAGCTATCCTGAACCCATTTTCTAAAGGATAATTAGAACAATTAATATCTGTAAAATAATGAAATGACAGTGCCTAGTGAGTACAAGATGACCTCAGATTAATAATATTTCATTTAAAAATCACAGTATTACTTACTTTCTATAAGTAGCATTATTTAATACAGGTTTTTTTGTTATTCTACTGTAATTAATAGTAGCATGCTATTGGATCTACTATTATACCAGTGCCCAATGAAGCAAACCTTTTGGATGGCAGAGAGCAGACAAAATTCATTTCCTATATGGAAAGCAAATAAAACGTCTTGTAGAAGAAAACAGTTTTTTGTTATTGTTTTCAAATTGCTTTTTTTTGGTATGTGCTTTTGTGAGGGGGGGTTTGTGGGGTGGGAATGACATTACAGGGCTATTTGATTTGGAGAGTTTACTACAAGCAAACAGAGAGACTTCTGCAATTCTTGCAAATTATACAATAAGGCATCATAATGCAGTGCACAAAAAAAGCCAAGACAATTGAAGATTAGAAGGTTTTTCAAAATGCTATGGGACAGAAATCTTTGTAACTGTACAACACTTGCTCTCAACATAACATAAAGGCACCATTGATATCTTTCTCCATTTTGAAATATTGCAAAAAATTGCTACATATGGCACATAACACAACTGCATATACATATATTTAATTTATAAAAGTTTTTTTCTCTCCTGTTTTCTATTAGCAGAATTGCTAAAATAAAATAAATAATTTAATTTAAAGATGGAATACTTCATTATATAAAATAACATTTTACATGTAGCTCTATGGACTCTGTTTTATACAGTGATAGGGTCTTGGTTAGCTATTACACTGGACAACCTTGCTTGCAATTCTTCCTGTGTGGAGAAGTGATTTGCTGGGTTAGTCCTCTCAGCCAGCTGGTATGCAGTGGCTGGCTCTAGATTGGTTGCCATGGGGTTCTGTATACTCATGAAAGGTGTATCTTCACCTATTCTTTCATCTTTGATTTCACCCTCAGAGCTACTGCTCTCAGAGCTTGTGTCAGAGTCCGTTTCCACTCTGCTGGAAATATGGCCATTGGGCTTTGTTCTTTTTACCCTCCAGTTGTTGGTGAGTTTCTTTGGAGGCTCCTGTGCTGGCTCATACTCTTGTGTTGTCTCATATTCCTCATCCTCTACTATCCTCAATGGACTAGATGGCAGAACGTTGCTCTCATGGGCAGGACTGTGGTGGAAGGAGCTGAGTTGCTGAAGGGGGTGTTCATACTTCTCCTGTGGTCGCAGTGGGGGCACCAGAAACAGTGGTTTTTCCTGTTCCATGAAGGGACTCACAGCCACAGAAGGGACAGACATGGTTAAGCTGGAAACTGGTGTACATGTTTTGGAAGAGGAAGACTTTGGAGAAGTCGGAGTGTGAAAATCTACAAGTAACATGCGATCTGGTGTGGTCATAGCTGAGACATACCTGAAGAAGGACACACACACACACACACACACACACACAAATTGCAGGCATGTAGGCAGTGACACCTAAACACTGGTGATCTTGTGGGCGGTGATGGAAAAAGGCATGAGTCTCTCTTAAGATCCCCAGTATCCGCACACTAGACTGTAAATACCAGGTAAAGATACTTACTGCTATTAGTTCTACAATATATGAGCCTCTAAAGCCACTAACTTTTGGGACTCTGGGGGAAAATGTCTGAGAACAAGAGGAACGCGGCAAAACCACAAGGTCTGTTTGTATTGAGAGAACCAGAGAGATACCATAAATTCTTTCTTGACTCTAGGAATGGGATTCAGAGACCTGAGGACAGACAGAAGCAAAATGCAGTTGCAACTATTTTCTCAAAAGGACAATGGCTGGTGCACTTCAGGCAGCGTTTGCACAGGACCTGGGGCATAAGCAAATGAGGATGGTGAAAAAATGAAAAGGAACTGAGGGGCAATTTTCTAGGGCTTCACCCATTTCTGTCAAACCAGGCTGTGTCACACTAGGGAGAAAATCAAACCTTGGACAAAAACTTCAGGCCAGATTCTGCCAACTTTAGTTACTATGGACTAGCCAGAGAAGGATTTGCAATACTATCCCAACAGGTTAGTACTGTTTCACACCTTGGCTGCTAGTTGCCTCAGCTTTTAGTAATGATCTTGGATACCACCTCCTCAGCCGCTGGTAACTTCCCTTCAGTTTTGCAGCAGCAGTTGGCTTTGGAGCATGGTAAGACAAGTCTGCTTGAACCATCCTCAGTGGGGGTATTCCTTTGGTCAGACTCAGCTAAGGAAGCAACAACAAATTGCTGAAGGTTAGTCATTTCCTGAACTGCTCATGCTGCATCATGTGGGCTTGCCTGCAGGAATAGCTTGATGCCAAATTCACAGCTAATCCACGCAGCTTTGTTTATTGGAGTGCCCTTGGGCCACCTAGCTAGCAGTTTCAAAGGAAAAATTCCAGAAACACCCTACATTTTAGAATATATACAAGGGCCCATCTACCTGTCATGCTGATAGCCCCTTGACAGGCTCCATGTATCCCACACACTCTTGTAACAACACCTCAAGAAGATAAAATGGCAGATGCTCCATCCTGGAAGGGTTCCTCCCATTGCCTCTCACAAAGGCAGCTTGAACTCTGTTTGAGACTGACCTATCTACATGGAAATGAGAATGCTCAGTGCTGTGTCTGAAGCATGCCCAGGGATGCAGGTCCCTCCTGGGGTTGCCCAGTGGGGATACATGCAAATGTTGGTACCAACCAAATAATGTGAGCCAGGAAGCTTAATGACATAGATGAATTCCTGAAATTAAAACTGGTTGAGTTTTCAAAAGCAAATGGGGATCTTCCCCAATAAGTTGCAATAAGCACTGTAACTTTTTTGAGCACTTGCTAAATCATTTCCACACTGCTATTACTGTCTTATAGCACTGTTCTTGGCTTTAAACAACATGAAATATATATTTTTGAAATGGCAGCTTTTCCTTCAGTGCAATACAATCCTTATGAGCTTTCCTTCAGATTATTATATTATTATAATTATTATTATTACTGTATTGACAAGTGTTTCTTTGCCATTTCTGCTGGGGACAAGGGCCCAAGCTCCAGACAGAATGCTCTGGTAATAGCTTCATAAATCTAAACATGGAGAATTCTCTGTCCTCATGTGGAAATGATCACTGACATAGAGGACAGTTTGGCTCAGTGTCAATAGCCTCTCTGAAGAATTTGCTCCAAGTCCTTTGATAGCTCTCTGTAGGGAGAGTAGTGGTCAAAAGTGATTTTATAAGTGGAGCTAAGCTGCCATTATAGAGCCCTTCTCACTTTCAGAGGAAGAAGACAAAAAATGCAAAACTCTCAGCTGATTTGAATCAGTAGAGCTCCATGGGATGCTATGAAGTTGTACTGACTCATACCAGGTGAGCATCTGCATGAAACCTTTTGATCAGAGACCAGCATGACATTTTGAATTGTTTGACTTTGTTTTCCTCCTTACCCAAACTTCACCTGCCTGAATTTCAGCTGTGTCAAAATTCAAAATCTGTCTAAGCTGCATGTATCACACAGGCCCATTGATACAAGTTATATAGCTATTGATATAGCTTCATTTGTTAGCTTCTACATTCTTTTATGTTTCTGAGTCACTTTTAATTGTGAATAATTCTCCTTTTCTCCTTTATATACACTCAATCCTTCTCTCAGAAAAAAATTGCCATGTATTTCTTGCATGCTAAAAATAGATGAGACCTAATTTAATGCCCAGGGACCTCTCTCTTGTATTCAGAGTTCACGATCATTTCAGATACAGGGCTAGGCCATCAGTGCAGAAATGTTGTCATATTTTCTCCTGGAACGTTATCTTCAGAAGATGCTGTATTTGGAGAAGTGCCCTCTTTCTTCTTATTGGAATGGAAAAATGCATATTCCTTCTCTTTCCTTCCCCCTAAATATACCTAGTTTGTATCAGAATATTGCCTAGGGTATCCCAGGCACTCCAGAAAGATTGTACAAACAATCTTTGCTCCTCACACACAGAGGCCCAAATATACTAAACTATAACACAGTTTATCAGCATGAGCTTGGCAATGCATTCCATATGGTCCCCAGACAGGAGACAATGCAATATTTACTGCTATAGGTCCTGATCCAGCAAAGCACTTAACCACATGCTTAGTTTTACTCATATGAGCAATCCCATTGATTTCAACTGGACTACTCACAGGATTAAAAGCTAGGAATGTGTTTAAGTGCTCTGCTGGACTGGGGCCATAGCTTTTTATATGATTTGGGTCATGAAAGATGCTACATACCACATTTATTGAAAGTTAAATTCCAGGGTAAACTACAGGCTATTTTCCACATGAAACCTAAAGCAAGAAGAGAGATAGCTACACTATATTTAGTAGTCCTATAAGCCACATTCAGAAAGATTATAGCCATGGTTCATTATTACGCTCTTAACCAGTTCTTCTTCGTGTAGCAGTTGGTTTCTGCTCCATCTGCATATTCATCTTTCTGGAAACCAACAATGTGTCTCCTATGCAATTCAAACACCTTTCTGATGAGGCTTGTCTGGCTGTATTTTTCACATCATGGGCATCCAGGGAGTTCAAACACACTGTGATTCCACACTGCTCAGAGAATTGATCCAGTAACACTACTTTCTGTTCTGCTCCTGACTGTCTGGAGCAAAGCTCTTTTCAAATGTCATTTGCTTCTCAGTCTTTTCATTGGTTATTCTGGGGCCATCCCATCCTCTTGAGTTAAAAATACCAGCCCATAGCTGAGAAGCCTTCTTCAATGAAAATTTTCTTGAAGCTGATACATTTCAAGGCACACCTTAGGTATCAATGAATCAGTCTTTTCTGAGAAAACATTACTTTGTTGGAAAATTCTTGGCTAGCTTTGTTTGTAACTACTGTTGATTTAATAGGAGCATGGGCTCTTCTGGCTTTCAGTTTGTGTTCTTTGCTTTTATTTACTAAAATTCCAAGGAGAATTTTCAAAGGACATAATGGATTTAGGAACTGTAATCCCACAGAAAGTAGGTGGTGGTTGACTTCCTATATTGCTTAGGAGTCCTTGGTAACCTCCCACCAATGGAACAATATATTGCTTTCTCCTCATCTTTTGTTTCTGACAAAATCTATAAGTTTCTTTACTTGCTTTTTGCAAGTAACTGACAGAGTTAGGCAAAGGTCCCCTTTTACTTTATTTTACAATGAAAATTTCTGGGAAATGATTCCTGGTGGAGTTTATCCAAATGTTAACTGCTGCCTGCTAGTAATAAGTCCAGAAGAGGCAGGAAGGGAAGAAATGTATTTGGCAGCCTTTAAACTACAGAGCTCTATACCTTTATGAATGAGGACAGGCATTCACATGCCTACATGAATAGATTTGCTAGGTTTCCTCTGTGATCCCAACCCACTAGAATTCACTTTGAATCTATTTCAGACCACCAGGCCCTGCCATCTAGTGGGAATAAGATGGAGTTGTAATACCTTTCACTGTGAGGGGAGTCTCGGTAGGTGTTGGGAGTCTCTCTTGCATGCCTGAGGAAACTGTTGCAGTCCCATGGACCTCCAAGGCCACTGAGGCGTTCCCTGGGTCCTGTTGGGCTTATGTGCCTGCTGTTTTCCACAGATGAGCTCACAAGCACAGAATGGCTTTCAGAGATAATGCTTTCAGGGTGGCCATTACTCCAACTGGAGAAGACCAGGCAGAAAAAGAGAAAGAGGGAGGAGAGGGTAAGAGGGCAATATGATTTTAAATGCAAAACAGGAGAAAGCAAACTAACAGAAGTTTAATAAGGGAAGAGCCAGAACTCTGTGCAGCTCCGGATGTGCAATTTAAGCTTAAGGTTGAGAACTGGGCCTGCAGAATTTTGTGAATAGCATGATCAAACACACATCAAGATGGTTTTGTGTGTGTGGATGAAGGGAGGGAGGGAAAGGGCTTTTCAGTCATTAGGAGTGGAGACCACTCTTTAAAACAAAAGACCTGTCATGATTTAGTAGTTTGCATATATTAAAATTCACAGTAATGGAATGCCATGCAATCAAGAAAGCTCTTTGTAAATTCCTAGAAAGATAATTAATTTGATGACATGACATCAAATACCATTATTCTTAAAATTAAAAATCTACAAAGGGAATACAGTTTTTTGGTTGTTTTTTCTGTTTTTTTTCTGTTATTTTTTTTTCTGTTCATGCAACAACAGCACTGACAATACAAGGTTTTTGTTTTTGGTTTTTTTCCCCCCTTCTGCAATGCTGTTTGTGTTCTTGCTCCAGTACCTGTGTCTGGGTGTCGGGGTGACCGTTGTAGAGTGATGTGTTGTTGACATGTAATGGCTTGTGGAAAACAAAGTCTCTATTTCTCGTTCAGTGGCGTGCTCGCTGCAGATTACATTTTTTGAAATGTACTGCTGAAAAAAAGCAAAAACTTTTTTACACACACCAAAGCACAGACCTTGTCACCCACGCACACAGACATTGCACTGACACACTTTAGTGTATTCATGTACGCTTCTGTGTACACATCCCCTTTAAACTCAGAACAGGAGGAAACAAGTGAATTAATCTGCAAAGGGCTGCATCCCAAACAGGTTATAAACAACATGCGCATGGTATAAGGAAATGAGAAGTCCTCATGGACAGAGACTTAGAAAGGTAACACACCCATTGGTACCAGATGCATCAAAAATACTGCTCTCTGATGGACAACACAGCAGTACTTAATTAATTCTTTTGTCCATTATGCTATAAAGAATCTGGGCAGGAAATGGCTATTTCCAGTGCTAGAGGATACCATGTCACATGGCTGCAGCACCAGAGTAAACCTATTGTTCAATTCTTAGAGGGACAGTCTGCAGAATGGTCCAAAAGCCTTGTGCAGATGGGGCTGGAGGTGTGCAGTTCCTGGTATTCTGCACACATTCTTTTGTCTGGGATCTCCACTGGTCTCAACAGAGATGCTGTTGCTGATAGGACTCTCCATTGTTTCTAACAGGAACTCTTGGTTTCTCCACTCTTAAAAATATGGTCATGGATTTAGGTCTCTAAAGGGGAAGTGCTGGAAGTTGAGCTCTTTTGAAAATGTATCTTGACCTTATCAAAGTCACCGGGAGCTTCGCCATTGACTTCAGTGGAGCCAGGGCTCACCCCTACACTGAACTGTCACTACTATTTACAGTGATGATGGAACAGGAGAGCAAGAATGGCTTGTGGTTGCAGGAAGCAGACTTTCTTTCTGGACAATAGACTTCTACAGGAAAAGATAGAGAGGAAGGAATGGCTATACACAGTATAAACTGTGGCCTCTTTCACAGAAGCCAATGTAAGTTATGAATAGCCATGTGTGTAGAGCTTTGTTCTCACAAATGGCTGGTGGGATGCTGGTGGAGTGTCTGCCCCAGCCCCACTTCACCAGCCAAACACACATCCTGTGCCATTATCCAAAAAGAGTTTTTCATCTAGTCTTTTATTTCTAAGGCTGATTTTTGTAACTCCTCACTACTTATCCTCTCATACACAGCAGTGACACCTTGGTTGATAGGGCTCAATGCTTTTCATAGAAACTAGCATGTTCCTGTTTAGTGTGCTCCTGGGAGTGGTGGTGAAATCCTGCCCTACTGAAGTCAGTGGGAGTCCTGCCATTTACTACAGTGGGACAGAGACTTGTCCCCTGAAGTTTGCTGTAGACTACAACTTTTTTATACAGAAGGCCTCATCTTGTTCTTCCTGCTTCAGAAACAATAGGAACCTTGGTTTTAAGGACTACTGGAATGGGGATTACAGTGAGCATTGCCCTTTTGATGCTCATGCGCACAGTGTCCGGGGGTCTGAAGCATGAGTTCATAATGTGATGTTCCAGATCAAATATAGCCTGCTCTACTTACCAGCCATCAGGCCAGGAACAGTAAGAAATTTAAGACATGAATGTGTTTGAAGAAAATGATCCCCATACACACACCCAGCCCTGTTGCAGTTACAAATTCTTTCTGATGTGTTTTTGTTGGTATTGGTGTTCTAGGCCCACAGGCTCTGCTATAGTACTGCTGCATGTGTTAATAAGCTGACCATCCTTGACAATGTTCTCATTTGACTGCACATTTGTAACTTAAGTTCCTAACTGTTTCTGGGTGGAGAAAGCCAAGAGAATCCAGTCATCAGTCTTTGGCAGATACAAGTTTAAAAGCTGCAGGATGAGTTCTGCTGTGGCACTGACAGTCTAGAGTGAAATACAGGCAGTAAAACCTACATTCACCAGTTGGATGGTCTCTGGTGGTGGGTTGGGGTGGTATGGCCCATTGGCCATGTTTACCATGTTGCTCCTTTCTGAGTAGAGGCTCTGCTGAAAATGGTCATGCAACTTTTTCCTCTGCTTCCTGTATATGAAAGATGGAAATAGTTTTAATAGATAAAAGCAGCTACACCTTTTAGCATGCTAATAATAATAATAATAATATCACTTTATTGTCAACACATTCCCCATTGCTGCAAGATCTCAGAGCAACTCCTAACATAATGAATCTAATTGCAGCTGGAGCTGTGGGGACCTGTAGAGCAGGGGAAGGTATGTGAACACCCTTCTGAGAGTCAGCAGGGCCACAGAGGGACAGGAAAAAGTATGAGGAGGGAGAGAGTAATTTCCAGAATGTATTCCATTTCAGGGGGACCTCTTCTATGTTTCCAAAAGGAAAAGAGGCAGGGATTTTTACCCTATCACCTTGCCACCCTCACTGAGGCCAAAAGGAGTTTTTGACCTCTGGATTACACCTGCTGTGGTTTCCATTTACCATGTGGCGTTGCCACTGCTTACTGCTGAGCAGGCAATGACACAGAATATGGCAGCCTCACCTTCCTTAGGGCTTGCACACATTCATGGAAAATAGTGGTGTGAAATACATGTGTATATTTGACAGCTTTCTGCTCAGTCCAAGAGGATGCTCTGGAAGCCACTCCTTTGTGGGCCTACAGAACTAGTACACAAGGCAGGGACCGTGACATCTATCATCTTATCCAGGTACAAGTAGCAACCCTATACAGAGAAGCAGCCATGTGTCTTACAGTGGTACCTCCTTGAGTCATATGGACTGCATCTTGTTTCAGCTGTGCAGCTAGCAATGGACTTTCATGCCATTTTTCTTTTTGCAGTCAAGGCAAGGTGTTTAATAACAACACTAGGGCCAGAGTACTTTGTATTCTGTAATACTGCAGCAACAGATTTGTTGTGGAATTTGTCCCTTACCCCATCAGGGCACTCCAAAGCTTCAGCTTTCATTTCAAAAAGTTAAACATGTTAAGGGTTGTAGAGGAAGCCCTGGAAATCTAGAGTGAGTGAGTGTGTGAGGTCTGGCAGCTCTGAGAGGTGGAAACTGTCTCATTACAGCAATACCAGATTAACCCTGGAACCTAATGATTACCAGGTGGATGTCAGGGCTGTTAATGCATTCAACAGAAACATCCAGCTTTTGTACTAATGTTATGATCTGACCAATTTGCATGCTTCTTCTTGTGCACAAAGCTCAACTGCTCCTTCCCCAGTTACTAAGCCTTCTGGCTCTCCTCAGGAGAACTTCACAGAATCACAGAATCACAGGATCACAGAATGGTTGAGGTTGGAAGGGACCTCTGGAGATCATCTAGTCCAACCCCCCTGCTCAAGCAGGGTCCTCTAGAGCATATTGCCCAGGATCGCGTCCAGGCGGGTTTTGAATATCTCCAGGGAAGGAGACTCCACTACCTCTCTGGGCAACCTGTTCCAAGGCTCAGTCACCCTCACAGGAAAGAAGTTTTCCCTCATGCTCAGATGGGACTGCCTGTGGTTCAGTTTGTGCCTGTTGCCTCTCATCCTGTCACTGGGCACCACGGAGAAGAGTCTGGCCCCATCCTCTTGACACCCTCCCTTCAGATACTTGTACACGTTGATGAGATCCCCTCTCAGTCTTCTCTTCTCCAGGATAAACAGGCCCAGATCCCTCAGCCTTTCTTCATAGGAGAGATGCTCCAGTCCCCTCATCATCTTTGTAGCCCTCCGCTGGACTCTCTCCAGTAGTGCCATGTCTCTCTTGTACTGGGGAGCCCAGCACTGGGCACAGGACTCCAGGTGAGGCCTCCCCAGGGCTGAGTAGAGGGGCAGGATCACCTCCCTCGACCTGCTGGCAACACTCTGCCTAATGCAGCCCAGGATGCCATTGGCCTTCTTGGGCACATTGCTGGCTCATGGTTAACTTGTGGTCTGCCAGGACTCCCAGGTCCTTCTCTGCAGAGCTGCTTTCCAGCAGGTCAGCCCCCAGCCTGTACTCGTGCCTGGGGTTATTCCTCCCTAGATGCAGAGCTTGACATTTCCCTTTGTTGAAGTTCATGAGGTTCCCCTCTTCCCACCTCTCCAGCCTGTCCAGGTCCCTCTGAATGGCAGCACAGCCCTCTGGTCCGTCAGCCACTCCTTCCAGTTCAGTATCATCAGCAGACTTGCTGAGGGTGCACTCTGGCCCTTCATCTAGGTCATTATGAGCCACCTAACAAAATCTGTAGCATGCTAAAAACAAACTGTGGAGGCCATGCAGAATGCAACATTGGAATATATAACTGAGAGAAGTGCTGTATTTGAGTTGTGCTATTCACAGCAGTGGAGATGCAGGCGGACTCTGTTCCATGGGAAACAGTGAGTCATAACTCTGTAGATGAAGGCTGGAAATTGATCGCTTCTCATATGAGGTGAAAGGCTCTTGCTCCTCCTGAAGACTTGCAGTTGATGAACAGGTTCAGTGACCTCCAAGCTGAGCAGGAGCTGGGCATGGCTTCAAGTGAAGCAACTGAGACGATGGACCCTGTGCCATGCAAGAACACCTGGAAGAAGCGACGAGTGATTGTTGTGGGTGACTCACTGCTATTCAATTTCAGGTGTAATTTATTAGAATTTCCCAGTTTTGTGTGATGCTACTGGAAAGCTTCCACCATCCTGCCACAGAATCCAGGGAAAGAAGTGGAAGATGCAGGCTCCAACACACTGCAGAGTGCACATAACCTTGGCTGTGGTAGGAGCTAACATAAAGTTCCCTAAGTTGTATGCCTAATTGCAGCTATTGTTGGCAGGACAGGACACTATAGAATGTAACCATTCTGAAGAAGGGAATATTTCAGGCTTACCAAAGTGGAGGAGGAGGAGAGAACAATAAAAATGAACCTTAAAAGCTGCAACAGTCAGAGAAGCCTAAACGCAAAGAATGCAATGCTCAACACTGCATTTAAAAATTTGTGTGTGTGTTAAGGAGCAGTGAGGACTGGTTGCTCCCTAAGGGACAGGGAGCTGGGAGCCAAGTGTGATAACATGACTGGCAGGGCAGGGGCTTCGACAACCAGGGCCCAACCCCACAATACCCAAGCAAGGTGAGCAGGGCAGACCTGGAGACGTTAGTCAGGTTCAACCAAGAGTCCAGATCATCAGGCAAGGTCATGGTGATAAGGCAGGTCCAAGGTCAAGCTGGGAAGTCAATCTACAGGTCAGGGTCATGTCTGGTGAGTGTAACTAGGGTCAGACACAACCCATTTATCACCAGGCAGGTCCATAGTGGCAAGACAGGTCCAAGGTCAAAACAGTAAGTCAGTCCATGAGTCAGTGTTCAGATGAACATGGCCCATGGCTAGGCACAGGCATGGCTGTGACAGAGCTGGAGACCACTACTCCTATGACATAGCTTAGGCAGGGACTGAAGGCCCAAGCCTGAGCTTAAATGGGGCCCATGGGCAGAGACTGTGGGTGGAGGCCCCAGATGAGGCTGGTCAGGGCCATTAAGGCCTATTAGTATACTCAGGGCCCTGACAGTGTGTGTGTGTGCACACGCGCATGCATGTGTGAATAGTGGAAGACATGTTTAATTTCTCTGCCTCCATGTAAATGGTATTAGCATACCAGGGCTGCCTTGGTACCTCTGCCATTCCCAGAAGAGACACAGTCTCTGATCCATGTTGACTTTGTCTTTGGACACAGCTAGCCAGGCATCATCATGGCACATGAGGTTGTTAAGGCTGATGGAAAGCGCAGTTCAGGGAGATACCTGCTGAGTTCAGAAGCAGCATAGACAAGGATTTAACATAATTTCATGGCATGTCTTCACAGAAGCTTGGACCTGTATTGGTGGGGAGCTGAGGAATAACCAAGTCCTCTGACTTGGTAGAGGAAGTGGTTCCTACAGGGGCTTAGATTCATCATCTGTGGGCCAGAAATCCTAATATATGCTGTCTGGGAATCTGTCCCTAGGAATCCACACTACTTCTCACCTTTAGTGATCAAGCTGTATGCATTCTGCATGCTTCCATATATGCCATTTTTCCTCTAGTTGAAGGACATCATTAACTACAAAAAAGAAATTACTCCAGGAAGCTGAGAGGAAAGAATAATGGGAAACCCAATACATGCTTCACTTGTTCTGGGGAACCTCTTCATTAATGGAATTACTTTGCAGATATGACACTTCTGAATTAAGGTTCAGTGTTAGAAGATGTCATCTTAGCATTTGATCAGCAGTGTATGTTGCAGGTAGAGCCATGTGATCTGAGCCATTTCTTTTCCCTTAAGATCTTCTTTTCTAACCATTCTAAGGTTTCTCAGGGTTTCTGTTTTTTTCCCCCAATAGAAAGAAGGAACATACAGAGAACATCCCACAGATAGCAGCCTGGCATCACTGCTGCATTTGGAGGGCCATAAACTGGCAGTTCCCGTCTCACACTCATCAGCCATGTTTGAAAACATTTTACCACATGTTGGCAATGATCTCTGATATCCTGGGCATATCAAGATAAAAAAATACATATGCCTGATGAATTCTAGGGACATATGATATATAAAAATGCATGTCAGGGCCCTGATTGAATGTTTGCTGCACTTAATGGGGAACCCTTCACTGGTTTCAGTGAAATTCCTACTACTGTTAATCTTGTTCTCAAGTACAAACAAACTGCTGATCCTTTAACTTTACTGCTGGATAGCTACATGATTCCAATGTTGGGGGGGTCTGTTCCCTTTCAGCTGAGGAGATTATGAACATATGACAAATGAAGAAATTCATGTCAGTGAAATTTACTTTAGTCAAATTCCAATGGCAATGAGCCTTTCAGATACCTCTCTTTCTTATGTTTTGCACTGCCATTTGATAGAGAGATCTGCACCTGCCTGACTTTCACCAGACTACCGTAGGCAAAGATTTGTCTCTTCAGTTCAAATCTGGAGAACCTCAGATTACAATTTTATGCTCAGAGAAGTAAGAGCTACAGTCATTTGTGAGGACCCTGACTAACAATCATAGGTATACAAAGGAAGAGAAAATTTTACTTGGTTTTGCAGTAGGCCACCACACACATGATGCCAACTACTAGAAGAGCAATGCAAATGCCAGTTATGGTCAGCATCCGTTTCTGGTACAGTTCCTCAGCTTCTAGAAAGGGACAAAAACAGAGGCAATCACAACATGTAGAATGGTTAGGCAAGCAGTAGACAGTCAATAGCTGGCATGCAACATGCCACTACATAGAATCACATAGCCACATGGAAATACAGCCACCACACACTTTGAGCAAACTCATTGACTGCAAAGAGAGCAGGTCTACACCAAAAGCTCTTAATACAGTACTAGGGAGTAGTGGTCATCTGTACAAATAAAGTCAAAAGTAATCATTTTCTCTTTTTAAAAACACTTCTATTGTTAACAAACATCATATCTAAGAAACAACTTTACAATTGACAAACACAGCATTTGCTGGAAATAAAATTGCAATGCACTAAGGTAATAAAATGAGTTTGCAAATTCTTTGGATGTTTCACTCTTGCAAAGACAGCTAGAGTGAAGGCCAGTTTTGCAGCCCTTGAGACCAATTTATCTATCTTCTTTCTTTTCTTATTTGGTTTGTTTTCATATCCAATGCCTTTTCTGTCCCCATATCAATTAAATTCTCAATGGTCTTTACAGGAGAAATTTCAAAATATCCTTTTACATTTGAGGTGTGAGCTTGGCTTGTAATTATATAACCAAAGGCTCTGAGATCTGTTCACAACATTCATCCTGTTTCTCCAGTGCCTCACAAAACATAGCAGTAGCAACAATTACCAATGCCTTGTATCAGAGAAATGCTGAAGCTATCACTTAGAAATGGAAATGTCTCCAACACTTTAATTTAATAAATGCTTTGGCCAACTGTTCAAGCATGGCTATATGCCAGTGCAGGTACTAGATGTGAAAAAAGACAGTTGGATATTATCAACTCTTCAAGATTCTTCAGTCTCAAAGCAGCTACTTGCATATGTAGCCTTGGTGCCCAAGATTCAGGGCAAATGGAAAGTTTTCCATGAAGCAAACAAACAAATGAAAAGAAATCTTAATTTCTCTGATACAGTGCACCTTATCATGGAAAGAATTCTTCCTACAAGCCAACCCCACTGTAAAACAAAACACCAGTGAACAGGTCATGAACACTGTCAGACAAAATTAATAGCACTGATTATTAACAAGAGGGGGAGAAAAGTGAGTTTGGTAAAACTAGGATGCTACAAAAATGTATTAAACAAAACTCCAAGAACAGAAAGTCAAAAAAAAGGGAGGGAAGAAGGGATGGAAACTCTAAACCAAACCAAACCAGGACAGAGAGAAAAAAGAGAAAGGTAAATTAAATACATGGAAAGAAAAGGTTAAAAGGTTGAGAAGATGACTGCAGGCCTGGCACAGCATGCTTGATACTGGGGGAAAAAAAAACAGTGAACAAATGTTTGAGGAAAAAAGAAAGACTGAAGCAGAGTCTGAAGGGGTTTCTCATACAGCATAACTCCTTGCCTAGGCTAGTTAGCAGCTCCTGACCCTCTTCCCAGTTTGCCTCGTCTGAAAACATTTATTAGTTAGTCATGGAAAAGGTATATTACAAGGATGTCACTGGAAACAGGAAAATTGTGCTTTGCAATTTAGAGGTAAATTTGGAATGCTCCAAAAGTGTTTTTCTTGTCAGGCTGTCAGATGTTAAACCAATAAATCAAAATGAATAAATAAATATCAACCTCTTTTTTTGGATGGAGGGGGGGAGGAGGAAGAGGATTAAATAAAAGTGAAAACTCCTCCTGGTGGTTATATTCAGCATAAATTGCATTGACTCCAGCAGGGTTACTCCAGACTTGGGCTATTTTACATGAGCCCAGCTCCTAGCTGGTGATCATCTTGGTAATGTTGTTAGGGTTATTTAGGCTTGTTGTACATGTGTTGGATTCTCCTGTGTTTGTTGTGTGGTACCTCTCATATTACACATAAGGAGGGTGCTATAGGGGGAAGGGAGAAAAAGGGAGCAGTTTTCTGGCCTGTCAGACCAGGATGAACGTACTGTTCTTTGGCTTCGCTCCATGTGCAGCTGTCCTGAAGGAGCTAAAGGTAATGGAACCAAGATCATAGAGTGCCACAGTTGCTTCTGTTTCACCAAGTTGGCCCACATTTTGGACTGAGGAGCCCTATGCCTATGAAAAGTAAAGGAGAGGTAATAGGGCAAATGTCTTCTGACTATCCCTTTCCACCCCTGTGGTCTGCAGCTCCTATAGCCTGGGGTGGAGGGGTTCTCCAGATTTGGTAGAGCAGTCTCACAGGTTCTGTTTCCTGAACCAATGTTCAGCTCTTTCTTGCTGGCTTTCCAGGAACTAAGTGCTTCTTTTCAGGAGAAGGTAATCAGAGCATGACATGAAAGGCAAAGCAGTGCTGGAGAACAGAGGATACAATGCTTGGTCTTTCCAGTCTGCATAAGGCACAAAAACTTCTGTCACATGCCTGGGTGGCAGCCACAAGAGCAATTCCAGAATCACAAGGGCTGAGGCATGGGCCTGTATAACTACTGGAAGTCTACAGGAAAATCACCTTAAATTCCTCTGAACTTGGCCAGGCTGGCACATTCTGGGCCACAGTCACCTCTGGGCTTCCTTTGGTCACTGAACATCACAGCATGACCCACAGAGATGGCACAGGTGAGCAGAACTTTATCCTGTTCACCAGAAGATTTACAAAGGATGAACTGATATTCAGCTGGGATAAACTAGCATCACTCTTCTAACATCAGTGGGGCTACCCAATTTACACCAGGAGACTAACTCAAAATCTCCTTGCTGGGGAATTTCAAAGTGGCTTCAGGGAACAGTGCAATTCTGAAAAAAAACAAAAAACCAAAAAATCCAAAGCACTGCCCTGGCCACATCTGACTCAATGTTCATCTCTACACCATGTAGTCAGTCGCTGAATTGCCTGTCAGATTTCTCTCTCTCTCTAACTGGCATAACATTTACAGAACCAGTTAGTAACATCCAGCAAAATAATGCACACACTGTTTAAAGTGTTCATCAAACTAACTTGGAAGAAATAAATTAACAACAGTCTTGGGAAAAAGCCCTTGGAGAAATATATGTGCAGTGAGAATTTAGAGATGATTTTTGCCTGTTAAAATTACAAAATACTTTGACTGGTTTTTTTTAGAGAATGCTAGGAAAATGCAAACCAGTGTGAGTCTTAAAATAATAAATCTCTCTATGGGTCTTTTAAACATGCACATTATGCAATTAATTTCACATTGCCCTAATTTATACATAATTGATAATGCATGTGGACTTTAATTTGCTCTATTTCAAAGCTTTTCTTCTCATAGGTGTTTAGAAAATTTTTGAAGAATTATATTTCAAGAAGGAGTTGAGAATGCTTTAAAAAGTTCCTTGCACATTTGCTGATGGAGGTTTATCTGTAAAACAACACTTGCAAGCCAATTTTCATGGGATTTTAATTTAATTCCTCACATATTAATGTAGCCATATATTTTCTTCTATTACAGTCCAGGAATTATGATTTAAGATTAATATTATCCTATAATAATAATAGCTGGGTCATGAGAGATTTTTTTAATTCAAATTTGTAATGGGCGTTTCTAGAGTTCACAGCTTAGGGTAATGCCAATTCATGTAAGCATTTTTAATAAGAATCTAAACTAAATCTCTTTGTAAAGTGTCAGTGGCTAGTTTGTTGTTCTCATTTTTTGAAAATTTCCAAACTAAAATGAAATTGAACTTCATTATAACAACTCAACCAGGTCAAGATAACAACAACTAACAAAAATGTTAGCCATATAAGTACAGTCTATTCATGTAAAGGGTTTATAAGCTCTATTTCTATTATATTTAAGCTCCAAAGTAAAAAACAATACCTATTGTCAGCATACAGTTTGGATTCTTTATTAGAAATACTGAACATATTTGCCAACTTGATGATCTGGAGTCTAGCTGTAAACCTCTACTTAAGTTCCTAAGTAGCTTGCAATTCGGTGCTAATTTACATACATAAACATGCATGTATATGTGTATGTAATTTGCATATATTAATATGCATATAATTGACATACCTATAGCATTCATTGTTTTCAAAATCCAGCAACCCTAGAAAAACTTAGCTAAAGAAAGCATCAAAACTCCCCAACAGAAAAATGAATGTGCGTGAGCTGATCTCTGCTAGCTTTTTGAAAAAGGTTGTTGTTATAGCTGTATGATCCCTTCTAAAACATAAAGAAATTGGTTAGAAATTGAAAGGAGGAGATGAAAAAAGTTTTTAATCTCTCAGGCTCTAATATCTGCAGGCTAAAAGGAATGATTGGTCCATACCCATAAATTCAATCCCAAGATGCTCTGCCAATGTAGAAATATGATGGAAAAAAAAAGAAAGAAAAAGGAAAAAGTTTCAGAAAAAAGCAATACACTATTTAAAAAAACAAATCATACATAAATATTACAGCTAGTCTATGTCTGCACATGAAACAGGACAAAGGGGTGTGTGGTTAAATGGACAGTGCTCAAGTATGTCCCTGTAAGCTATATGACCAGAACTTTAATTTTAAGAGAGTTACACATCAAAATATGTATATTGTAACAGGACAGGCACAGTGCAACGAACATAGCAGGAACCATTAACCCTTAAAGATCTTACTGAGATGAATGGGGCCATGGCTTGAGGTTAACCCTTAAACCCCTTAAAAGGGTTACACCACAAAATCATATGGGGCCCAAGTCCTGCCAAAATTCCATTTCTCCTCCCATAGGGCCAACACCATAACCACAGTAGCTCTCACTTTCTTTGTCCTTGTTTGCTGATTTTTTTTTAATCCAATCCTAATTTTCTAAGCAAGTAGACTTGTTATTAGTTTGTATACATTTGGAGTGTCAGTTCTCTCCTACTGATCAGTAACACTTTAAGGGTTAAATGAATTGGAATCCATCCAGATCTCTTCCTAAAGAGCCAGTATTACATGCCTACATGACCACTGCTAAGGATATACAATAGTTGCATAGAAAGCTTGGCTAAGTCTTCAGTAAAATGAATGACATGCCCATGCATAAATATTACTGTATTTATTCTTGCTTATAGGTAAGACTGATAGCCTGGATGTAATTTCACTTTAGGGGAAGTCATTTATATCATGCAATTTCTATTTCAAATAATTCAATGACAAATTTGTACTTAAAATGGGGCTATATTCTGGCTGAAAGTCCTAACAAGAAAACTGAAGAAACATCCATTACTTATTCTGAATTGAAGACTGCATATAACATTAACTTATTTTTGCTATCCATAGCTACATTTCCTAGTCCTGTATTTTGATATTTTCTTATTTAATCCAATACTGTTGCATATTTATTAAATATAATGTGGTTTCTATTGAATTTTTGTCCATTTTCTTTAAGAGGAAATATGATAAATTATTTTCAATAACAGTTTCATTCTAAATGTAATTTCATTTTGGGCAGAATTGGAAGAAAAATTGCTCAGAGTGCAGTTTAAAAAAGTGATGTATGACTAGAATTCATAAGAAATAGTTAAGCAAAACAATTTCACCCAAAAGTGCCAGATTTGTTGAAATTAAGCTGTTTTATAGGAAGTGTTTTGGGTTCACTGACTCCCCTTGGTGAATCAAAAATGTTCACATTGTATCCTAGGTGGAGGCACAATAGACTGGGACACAGTTGGGTTTCAGGACAGCCCTGTAAGATGCCTTGCCTCAGCTTCATGTTGGATTTACAGTCCATGGCTTGAGGCAATCAGCTTATGCCAGGGGTCCTAGGCTTGTGACCCCAAACCTATATGTTTGAAAGTCCTAGGAATCTAGGGTCTAACACCTGGAATTGGAACTTTGAGCCTGGAAATCCTACTACAGGCTCCTATGTCATTTCAGATACACTGGGGTCTAGGGTCTATGGAAATCAAGCTTCCTGGCAGGGAATCTGAACTCCCTACTTAGAGCAAGAATATGATGCCTGGGAATGCTGGAACAGACTCTCCAAGATTCCTGGGCAGAGTCTTCATGTACTGTGCCCCAGAGCTTTTAGACACCCAATAATTCTGGGTGGCTAGTCTGAAGCATTAGGTGGCCAGGTAATCTGGGAACATCGTGCTCCCCAGATGGAGACAAGTAGAACAGTGGGGTTGTGTAGAAGACCTAGCACTTGACATAGAGAATGATTCATTCTTATCATCTTCACTCAGCAACAGAGTGTTCCAGGGAGATAAATTTCATTTCAGAAGCATCAAGTTGTAGTGTTTCTTAAATTGTTTTTAATTTTTGTTTTAATTTTATTATCTAAATTTGTTCTCTAGGTCATGAGAAATTTTAAAAGTTTAGCTTTAGTCTGATTTGGATTGAAAACAAACTAAAAAAAACCAGAACTGTCACAAAACAGAAACCCTACATGCTGGCCAGTTCTACTTGAGGGGCCAGGACCCCCTTTCTCAAAGGGGATTTAGGCACTTTGGATCCAAAGTCCCATTTTATTTCGGTGGCACTCAGACTCTCAAATCCCTTTTGAATATGGGCTGTAGAGTCCTATGGCTCTTGTTGCTACCCAACAACTAGTTCAAGTTTGACAAGACAGAAAATGCGCTCTTATTAATGAGACTCCCCCATTATAGTCTTTTCATAGCAGTTTTAGTGTTTCAAGAGCATTAACTGAATAGGTTATTTTGAAAAAACTCTTTTCCTTTTTTAATCTTGGGCAGAAGATGAACAATAACATTTCCAAATATGTATATATCATTTAGGAGCTTTGATCCCAGTGCAAAAAACAGTTACAGTATAATTTAGGGTACTGAAAGGCATTAGAAACTGGAAATTTCAGGTAAAATTATCTAGTATCCTTGTAGAAACATGACCACTTGAGAAACAGCATTATAGTAGAATGGCTGAAAACTGGACTTTTCAAGATCTATAGAAAGACTGAAAAATGAGGCAGTTTCAATCTATAGCATTAGAGTTGAGGTCATCCCTCTAGTATATCATAGCTTTACTCAAATCTTTCTATTTTCCCCTTTAATTTCTCAAACACATCTCAAGAACACAGGGCAGAGGCTATCATAATTTTAACAGAATTTTCCTTCTGCCCCATTTGAGATTATTGCTCATCAAGGATGGCAGAGCTGAAATGGAGCACAATTTAAACTGGTGTACCATACTGAAATACTTGCCTTCAGGAATTCAGGGACCTTTCCTACATTCAATCCATGCATGAGACTGCATGCAGATGTGTATACCCACAAAATGTTTTAAATGCCCAGTACAGCTATAACTACTAACTAGCGAAGTGAACAAGTCAGCTAGCCCTCTGGAATGGGGTCCTTGGCCCATTTGGGACAGGTTGAAAGGACAGAGTTTATCTGTGATTATGCTCTAGAGAAGTCTTCATCAACCCTTTTTTAAATGGAAGGCTCCCCCAGGCTTTCTGAATCCAAGGACTATCCTGAACAGTGTTGCCGCAATAGTTCTCATGGACAACTACATAGAAATTAGACTAAACTTTTAAAGTTAATTCATTACTCTTATCTTCCTCAATTTGCTTTGCTCTCTTGCTTGCAAATATGGGAATGTGTAAAAGTTTAAATATAAATATACAGAAAAATATGTATGTGGAATAGATGCATTTTTGTAACTCCTTTGTGGACTACTTTCTGATGTCTTGTGGACCATAAGTCCCAAGGTCAAAACCACTGTAGCAGAAAGCCAACTGGTACACTGATACTGCCTGAATTCTATGTATGCAGCATGAACTCATGGCCAACATCCATATACAAGGTTTGCACATGTTCTCTACTGTGTCTGTCTCAACTCTTCCCTTCCTCATATGGTAAGGCTGGGTAGTTCAAGGGGATGGGAGAACACACCCAGTGGCAGGTGTGGCTGCTATGCTCAAGGAAAGGATCTTACAGGCTTTGCCAGCTGGACCTCAGAGACCAGCAAGACTAACACCATTTGTTCTTTATTGCCCCTCGGGCTGCAGTGGCAGAAAGCACTACTTAAAGGGGAAAAAAATTGCTTAGTTGCAATCCTAGAGGTGACTATGGCAGTGGGGAAACTAACAGCTGACAACTCTCAGCTCTAACGATATGCCCTATGGTTTAGTGTGTTCACAAAGCTGGAAGCCAAGGGACTGTACAGCCTAAAGATGTGCCTTCCAGTAGTCTCTTCCCCCATTCTTTCCGAGCTACCCTCAGATTTCCACTGGTGGAAGGGAAAGCTATTTCTATGGAGGAAACTTCCTTAACAAAGACATTATTCTAAATTAATTGTATCTCTTTTCAATCTGTTTTCAGTGCACCATGATAACCAAATGGTGTTTACATATTTCAGGGCCAACTAAATTGTTCCCTAGACAAACAAGTAAGCTTTTCACCCTGTTGGTGGGATTTTCAAAACGCTCAGCATTGGCCTAGTTCTGAGTCTTCCCTAGAGTTCATTTCTGAAACTAGCTTTGTCTTAACAGCCAAAAATACAGCCTTAGGATAGTAACAGCTCATCTCTAGGCACTCTTTGCATGGAGCCCTATTGAGACACCCTTACCAAATGAAAAAAAGACCCTTCTGAAATCGATTAAAATTAGATGGCACTATATAGTTCACATGTACAATTGTGTTTCTTATACTTGTTTTGTTTAACATTCTGGTTTGCTCTATAATGTGCAAAAGTTGTTTTGATAGAGCTAAATTAAATTGAATTAATTGCCCAATATATTTGGTGCGAATTATGAGCTTGCCTTTCAGCCCGAGATTAAATGGTTTCCTGAAGAGAATTCTCATTCTGAGTTTCCTTTTTTAATTGTATGCCCTGATCTATATTGGGCATAGTAATAAAAAGTAATATAAGTGTTTTTTGGGGGTTAAATATAAATATACCCTTACTGGACCCTTTCCAAAAGTGTTATTTTAAGATTTGCAGCAATTTCAGAAATGATGTGCTATATAAGGTGCTAGAATCTAATAACCATTTCCTGGGATTCTCAGAATAGCCTAAGATAATTGTGTGCTCTCCTGCCAGTGCATTTCAAGGAGATTTGATCTGGATTCTCTTAAGTGTATAACTGAGCATATCTCCTTGCTGAAAAGCAAGGGCATCTCTGCCTTTTCCAGGGAGACAACTTCAGAAAAGCTCAGTTTGGCACCTACTGCCCAGAGAGTCATCTAAAAATCACAATCAAAATTAGGAAACTGAAAAAACAATAGCGGGGGGGCAAATAAATCTCTGTTTTTTCTGGGTACAAGAAAATGAACTTAGGATCAACAATTCTTCCATGGTTTTCAATGTAAATTCAGTTGCAAAAAGTCGAGCTTATCTTTTTACATCACCTCCTTTTAAATTGTTTTTCTAAGCTGTTAGAAAGCACAAAATCTTTATTTTACTTTTCTTCACAATAAAGACAAAAGGCCATTTAAATCTAAACCTTGGTAAACTAAAGCATTGTAATAGCCTAGACATTTTCAGATCCATAGGTATCAGGAGTATTAAAAAAAAACTCATAGTAATAAAGCTTTTAAAACAGAGAATAAAAGAAGCACTTGAATGCAGAAAGGTCTAATCCCCAGCCAGTGCCCTTGGCATTTACATGGGTAACTAACTTCCATGATGAGCCATATGAATTATGTATGGACATTTTTTTATCCATCAGTGTAAGACAAAATCTATACAGCTCTTCAGGCTACAAAATGTCCAGCACTTTTAGATCATAGTGCATTCCAATGCCAGCAACAATTAATTATGAATAACACACATATATTAAAAATTTAAAATCTAAACAATTTTCTGATATGTTGCCTTTGAATTTGTTATATTCAAAGAGACAGAATAAATATTCAGTGTACACACTGTTTCTCACTGACAATTAATAATAATTAACCAGCCCCTCCATGTGAAAGCTTACAAGATTATGATTGCACTGTGTGTGTGTGTGTGTGTGTGTGTGTGTTAGTGTTGAGCTCCAAAGGGGCCTATATGGTACATTTATTTGATCATTTAATCTGACTCTGAAATACTTTCTCTCTTGCACCTGTTCCCCACAAATAAAAATGTCAGTCCCCATTGCTTATGCTCTCCCTCTCCCTTTTTTTTCTTTCTTTAATTCTACACTCTCTTTTGACTCTCTTTTGATATGGACAATGAGAAGGAAGAATACTTTGTTCCTGTTTTGAATGTGTTCATTTGAAACAATGCAAGCATGTAAATTACCTTTAACTTGTAGACCTAAATGCAAATCATACACACACACACACACACACACACACACACACACACACGCACATTTAGTTATGTATCCCTTCATTTGGGAGAGTACTACCCTTTATAAAGATTCATAAGTTTTTTTGTGGAAAATAAAACGTGAGACCTTCAAAAAGCAATTTTTGCACTTTTACTACTTGATGTCAGTGGGGAGTCCATATCACACCATTCAGTGTTAATTTCACCGTGTTCCTAAAAGTCTCCCCATAACCCCAATGCCAAACAATCCAAGAGAGTATTGAAATTGCTTTTGTTACCCTTTTCATGCAACAGGCAGAGATAATCAATATTAGGCCTAAGGCAATACATCTAGTTACAGATTAAAAAAAATAAACAATGGAGGAAAGATGCAGTGACAAGAAAGCAGCACTGACTGAGCATGCTTCTACTGCGGCACAGACAGAAAGGTAGTGGACGTACTGTAGAAGCTGGCCATTACGTAGTTTTGGCAGCGATCACCAGTAAATTCATTTGGGCACCTGAGAGGAAAAACAAACAAAAAATTTTGTAGAGAAAAGCACAGAAAAGAGAATAGGTGAATATATGCTAAGAAAGAAACTCCTTCAGTATGAACTGATATGACTTGGTGAGTTCACTTTCAGAAACTGAATCTCAGTCTAGCATGTCAAAATGGCTCAAGATGTTGAGAGCAACTCATTTGCTCTGTGGAAAAAAAAAAGCGCCCCCCCCCCAAAAAAAAAATCAAAACCAAACAAATCCAGATCAGTGTGTTTCAGGATATGAGAGAGAAATTCACCATTCCAAATTCCCAAATTGTTTTCAGTATTTACTTTTCACAAGGCAGCTAGGAAACAAAATCTGTAAATTGCTCATTTCAGTATGTTCTTTTAGGGTAGCACTTTACAGCAGTCTTCCAAACAAGAAAGTTGCTAGTGTGTGCAATAGAAATAGATATGTGAATGGATGGAGAGATTAAAATGAGAAAACACTAAATGAGAAACATTTTGGAGGTCAATAATGCTATGGTGTACAGCGTCAAGTTTAGAGAATCAAGTCATAAATTATAGTTTAAAGAGGCCAGTTCCAACTGATCTGTGAAAACATCAAGTACTATTGATTTTGTTGCTGTAGTTGGGGAAGAAAGCAAAGTTCAGATTATTTTAACATACTTTCTTGGTTTTGGATTTTCATGGGCAGAGTTTCAGTACATCTTGCTCCAGTGAATCCAGGTTGGCACCTAAAGGGCAAAAACGTGATAAGCAATAGTACACCAAAACCACTGCTCTATCAGCCTGACATCTGCTGTCCTAGGGAGATGGGAGTGCTTTAAATGACCTCCTGAGTAGCTGCTAGTGAAAAATGATCAGAAAAGACAAAAGAAAGTGTAACCTTTGAGGAAGATAATACTTTGCAAAATTTACAACCAAAAATGTATCAGAGAACAATCTAGGAAGCCTTTTTATTTGTCTGTTTTAAAAAAAGAAAGAAGAATCAGGCCTAGAAAAAATGCATTTCAGCTCATTGCTTATTCCTACTCATTAAGGGACCATATTGAATTATTTCAATTTGCAATGCAGTGTGTGACAGTAATTTACACTGTCTTCATCAATCATATAGGACCTATGGAAATATCATGATCTCCATATTTCTGTAATGGCATGTTGTGTTTTCAAGTACTTTCTTTAAACGGGCAATAGTTAAAGCAACAATCACAAAAGAAATCCCCCCCAAAAGTGAGAAAACAATCTGAAACCCAAAGGCAGCAATCATATTTGACATGACTGACAGATGGAAAAAGAGTCAGTCCAATCAACAAATCAGATAAGGTGGTGTCTAGGCATAGGTGCTTTCAAAATTTGAAGTTCTCCAGCTGTCTACCCCTTTGCTTCATGTCTGCTCTTGTCAAAAGCTTCAGTACAGGTTGCTCCTTGGTCACAGTGAAGGAACTGTGCTTGACCTCCTTTCTGCTGCTGGCTGTCAATTCTTCATCTTTGTTCTCCTTGAATTCTGGGCAGAGCTTGACAGTGCGCTCTTGAAATGTCTCCATAGCAACGCAAGCTTCTGTGGTTTCCCCTTTCAGAAATAACTCTGCATGACTCTCCACCACATTAAAAATCCAAAACTTTGAATTCTCGTCTTTCTTTCCCTCCTCCTTTCTTCTGTCCACTCCTACTTCATCATGTAACCTTAAATCATCCTATATCTACATATTTAAATGCATCTCACTTGTATTGCCTCTCTTTTTGATATTCTCCATTAGCTTCATCATGATGCAGTCTTCCTCTGTTCTGCTACTGCTGCTTGTTTGGTGCTAGTCTCTTGTTTATATTGTCTCATCATTTAATCATCAGGGGTTGAAGAGCCTTCTTATTTGCAACTGCAAGTTGTCTGGAACAATCCCGCACCTCTCCTATCCATTAGGGTTTCAGGTACATTGAAATCTGGCTTGATTTTTTTAAATTTCCCTCTTCCATGATTGTCTCTAGTCCTAGGGTACAGGGATAGTAACACACTACCCTTATACAACTGGAACCTCTAGAAAACAACTACAGCAGGGCAGCAGCGTCAGACACAAACAGTGCTATCTTGTTCAAATACACCACACAGGAGTAACTCTCATATAAAAGTCCCTTTTTGGGGTTCTGAAGAACTTTCTTTGGAGCTGATTTGCTGTAATGATACATTTGTTTATTAAAGGGAGTTTATGCTCTTCAAAGCCAAATCGCATCTTATGATGTGCTTGTATAGTATCTAGTATAGCAAGATCCCAATCTCGACAAATACATTCAATAAAGAAAAGAAATTACAAGGACAAATCTATCACAAAAAGGTGATACTACTGGGCAGGAAAGACTGCATTTTGATTTGTATTAGCAAATGAGAGGAAACTTGTTTTATCCCCTTAATTTCAGTTTTATATTCAGAGCGCAGCCAACAGAGGCAGCGAACAGATGCAGCAGTTTGCGCAGCAGTTCGCGCAGAAGGGCGCCAGAAGGCAAAGAAGGCACCTCTCCATTTTGCACAGTGGTGTGTCCTTCCCCAGGCACGGTCATGACGCGCTGCAGAGCACGTTCCCCAGTGGCTGCTGGAGGTGCTGCATCAGCTGTGTCTGAGGCTTCAACCCAGACAGACCCTCAGACAGCAGATGCAGCTCTGCAGGTGTCAGGCTGCAAGGAGTGCCTGGGGCCTCTCCGTGAGGCCTGGGCTGACAGTCAGCTCTCCTGTGTGAGGTGTGCTGTGGTTGACCA